GAACAAAACAGGCAGACTGACAAAATGCACTGCTGAGGGGGAGCAGCAGGCGCAGCAGGAGAGATCTGTCGCGCCATGTAGGACCCTTGCTGGCAGCCGGGGATCGAACCAGTGCTGCAGAGGCATGGGTAGCTTTGCAGCCCAGCACTCAACCGCTGCACCACCAGGGGAGGCCCAAGGTGAGAATTTTGATTATACCTCACATTTGGGATATGTATAAATTCCATGTGGATTTAATGGTTTATTCCTTTAACATTTTTAAAACATTACTCTGCTTATCCTCTTGATATCTTGTTGATTCTCAAAATCAACAAGAATTAGGTACAACCTAATTAGGTTGCTCATTTGTAGGTGATAGATTCTGTCATTGAAAAGCTTTTAGAAGTATTTGGTCTTTGCTATTATGTTACTGCAAATGGTTCACTGGCAAACTGTCCCTTCTCTCCCACATTTAGCAATCTTAAATTCTTTCAGTCTAAAGTTTTCCATGAGTCCTTCATTTGAGAAATCATCTTAATTGTTTCTACAAATATTTCTTCTTCCCCTTTTATTCCTCCCCTACTATTCCAATTTGTCTAGATAGAAGTCCTTCTACATCTAACTTCATAGGCTTGCTTTTTATTCTGTGTTCTCCCTATCACTTAATGCTGCATTCTCAGAGAGCTCCTCAATGTCATGTTCCACCTCATGATTTTGCTCATCAGCTATATACCACCTTTGACTATCATCCAATCTACTTTATTCTTTATTTTCACTGTATTTTAATACCTAATTTTTCAGTCTTTATGCTCTTGTTCTCACATCATATAACTAATATCTTCTTATCACTATAAATATATTTATTGTACCATTTTTAATTCTTGATCAATCTTTTCATATAATACTGCATCAGATGATATATTTTATTCACTTATCTTTCTCTGAGAATTATGGTACTATTCATTCCCATGACTAGTTTGGCTATAAACTTATATTTTTCCAGGGTACCAGTCACTCTTCTCTGGTAATAAATATGGTGTCAGGGCTAAAGACCAGACCCTAATTGATAAACTTAAGGGAAGGATGAACCCCAGAACAAAGAGTCCCAGGAATTTGGAACAACTGTTGTTTGTTCCAATTTGCTGGCCATCCCATGGACAACAACTCTGGTTAGAGTTTCACAATGAAATATTTAAGGAGAAACAGCACTGGGCCCTTAAGTGTTCCTTGCTTGAAATCTACCAATTTGGGAATTTGGAGGGATGGGAGAAGAGGTTGAAAGTGACCCCTTAAGGGTAGTCAGTCAGGCTACAGCAATTCTTATCAGTGCCACCAGAGCACCAGCAGACCTTTTGAACATGGAGGTCTGCACGGCTTCCTTCAATAAGGAAGAGACAGGCAAACAGTCTCAAGGCAACCCAGTGATGAACAATAGAAGTTAACAGCCATCCTTCGATCCATTTTCTCACTGTAACCTCTGGTAGTCCTTAGTTGTAGACTGCAGCTATGTACACCTCATCATACCTTATTAATCAACAAATCCAGGTTGAAGAGAACCTTCAGTTTCCATGTATTTCCTGCTCACTGCTTTAGATCTTGGGCAAGGAAGTCAACAGCTTGGACTAGCTTGACAGGAAACGGAAACCAGCCTATAAACTATTTTATCAATAGCGTAGAACTTTTGCTTAATTTCAACCACTCATAATCCATTTCAGAAATGTGAGGCAAATGGATGAATGCAAACTTAATATTTAATAATAGAATACCTTAGCACCAAAAAAAGCTATACCCTAGAGCATCAAGAGTTTGCAGAGTTGGGCCTCCCCTGGTGGCGCAGCGGTTGAGCGCTGGGCTGCGAAGCTACCCACTGCCTCTGCAGCGCTGGTTCGATTCCCGGCCCCTGGCGAGGGTCCCACATGGCACGCAGACCTCTCCTGCAGGGTCCACTGCTCCCCTCAGCAGTGTATTTTGTCAGTGTGCGTGTTCTGTTCCTCGCTCTGACTCTGGTGAATTCTCTCACCCTCCCATGCTTCTGACTGTACCCAGTGCTTGTATAAATAAATAAATAAATCTTCAAAAAAAAAAAAGTTTGGAGAATAACAAGTACTCCCTTCTTAATTCTCTCATGGATATTCATAACATGTTCAGCTTCATACTTCCAAAAACGTATTTTAATTTTTCTAACTCTTCATCAACCACAGATTGTGTGAAATTAAAAAAATAAAACCCTCTATAGTTGCTATGCTACCCAAGATTGTTGACCTCTCGGTGTCATTAGTGCCACGATTTCATACTTCTCTACTGAGAATCAAAGACCATGGCAGGAACCCTCAAACATACATACACAACTATTAGCCTCAAGCCAATTGAAACTATTAGAGAAGTTAGAAGGTGGGACACTATCTCAGTAGTAGGCAAGAAACAAAGGAAACCTACCCTAGAACTTTAAACACCCTCCCCAAGTAAGAGTTGGTGAACAGTTGATAAGATTTGGTTAGTAAATTAATTTAGTTGTTTGCTATAGTAAGGTTATCAAAAAAAAAAAACCCAATACAAACCTTAAATTTCACTGAAAACTATAATATCTAGTACTAAAGATACAGTGAGATCATATCAGTAATTACTTTCAGTTCTAAGTACCATGCCACACTCTCTTGAAGTCAAAAACCTTTTTAATTTTTGCCAGCAGAGTGGCTGCTGAAAATGGTATCTTTTAAATTTGTATTTCTCTGAGTACTAGTAAGGTAGATTACCTACTGATGAAAAAATGAAACTATCTAATAAGCTGTGAATTGCCTGTTCCTACTTTTTACTCAATTTTCCTATCAAAACTCTGTTTCCGAAAGCTCTCTGTATTTTAAGGATTCATTAAATGTGTAAGAAATATTTTCTCCCAAACTATGGATTGCATTTAGTGCCTATTTACATGTTTCTTGTTTTCCTATATTTTTTTAAAATGTGTATGTCATTAAATTTTGCTGGTGTTTGTGCTTGACATGCTACTTTGTTTTTCTGAAGATGGGCTCCTTTCCCAGAGATAATAATATAAATACTATCCCATATATTCTTCAGCTTTTTGCATTTAGACCTTTGGTTTGAAGTAGACAGAGCTCCAACTTTTTATTTTCCCCCAATCAAAAGTCTATTGTATCAATAATATCCTTCATTAATAAATACTTTTTTTCCTCTGACCTGAATCACCACTGTAATAAGATTTCTAAGTTTGTTACTTCTAACAGTTGGATTTCACACCTTCTATTGTATATTCTTGAATCAATACCACAGTGTTTTGATTAGGGAAGGGTTGTGGTCTTATCTGGGTCTCTTCACGCTTCTTTTTTCCTCAGTTTCCAAGGGCATTTTCTTTAGGCACAGATAATAAGATGCAACTGAGAACAAACTGAAGGTGAATGTATTATCTTAAAACTTAAAAAAAAAGTGCACCAGTTCAGTTAGTAGTCTCAAATTCCATACAATGAATAAAAATAAGAGCAGAAAATAAATCATAAAAGCTCTCGTGAAGAAAATACCGTGGAAAAAAGCAGCAACTGGCACATACAGAAGACACTATATGCATCTCATTTGAGGCTAATAACAGGATACTATACAGTGGAAAAATCTGAGGCACAGGGAGGAAAAAGGGAGCATTAGGCCAAGAATTTGATAAATGCAAAAAAAGACGAGAAAATGTCCATCAAGGGGAGGCATAGGTCAAATTATATAGAGTTCATTAACACTTTATATGTCTAATCCCACCTACAAAGAGGTAAAGAATTGATTATTTTACAGTGCTATATCCCAAAGCCAGCCTTATATCTATCCAGCCAAGAACACTGACTGGTTGAGCTCAACTGAAGCAATAGCTATCTAAAATCCAGACTGAGATTTTGATTTTCAGAGATTATGACTCCATCTACATAGTGATAGAGAATATAAATATTTTCAGCTTTTAGCAGCATAGAATCCAAGCAGCCTGCTCCCCAATTCCTGTCAAGAACACATTTGAGTCCTTTAGTGAATACTGCAGTAGGATTGTGGTTACTCTCCCGTTCTGAACCCACAAAATATACTAAAACAACAGCAACAACAAATTTTCATAAAAGATATGAAACAACCAAACCACAGACCATGAGTATTTTCTCAAATACAAATTGGGACAAGCTAATAACGATTATCATAAGCCATTATAGTTTCTGCATATTGAGGCAGCACTGAGTTTCTCTGAAAATAACAGGGGAGGTCTGAAAGATTTTTATTTAAAACCAAGGTAAATGAGAGTGCAAACAAATCATAGGATAGCAAATATTCCTCTGTGGATACAATTTCACATGGAGGAATGGCAAAGGAGATGGGGCTAAAGAAGAGAATATTGTATACATGCCATGTTCAATCTCTCTGACTTCTAAATAAGAGAACCCATAAGGAGAGAAGGTAAGAATATAGAGAAAAGCAAAGAACAACCATTTTTGCTGTAATCAGCATTAGTTGAACAGAAAGAATGAACACCCAATCATCAAAACAGATGTCCAGGTTCCATGGTGAGCCATGGAACACTCCTTCCTGGGTGATCTCACCTGAAAGGGAATACCAGAGCTTACCCAGACACGTGGTTTGGGTCAGAGAACAGAGAAGTTTGTAAGAAAGCATTCTGAAACAAGAAAAGTGAATCGAACCTTCCAAATGCTTTTCCCCACACTACTACTGCAGATAATAACTAACTTTGAGCTCTTACCATATTCTAGTCATTAATCTGGGAGTTTTACCCTTTTAATACTCTTATCAAAACAACACCAGTCAGTTAAGTACTCTGATTATATCCATTACAGAAAAAGAAAATGAGGATCAGATAAGTAAATTTCCTGTAGTTCCACAGTGAGGAATTAAAAGACCAGGAATTTGAACCCTGTCTGGCTTAACCTTAGACCTTTAACTATTATGCTGTATAGCCTCTCCCACAGAAATGTTCAACATTTAAACCCTGAAAGCTCATGTAATTTTTAATTTATACAGGAAATATTTACCTTGTACTGTAAGCTCTGCCTGAGCTTCAATTGTCTCATTTCCATTATCAGCAACACAAAAATAAGTCCCAGCATCATCCTCAGTGATATCACTGATCTCCAGATTATCACCTGCCAGCAATACCAATCGCTCAGAGCTGCATTCAAAAAAAAAAACCAGTGATACATATCAGTACTAGGAAAATAATACCTGAACATGCTTCACAGAAAACAGAGAAAATATTTACAAGAGTATTGTGATTTATATTGCTATGTATGAATTGAGATTAACATAAATTAAATTAATTCCCATTTGTTCTGCTCATAATTTGCATGCATAAATATCATTAATACAACTCAAAATGTTACAATGGAATATGACACTTCTATATTCCAAAAGGGGTATACAAAATTGTAACCAATTCCATTCTCCAGTCCACCCCTGCCTTCCTACTATGCCCAGTTTTTTAGTAAGTTATATAATTTTGAAGTACAGAATCAGAGTTTCCACCAAGCTATGCCACACTGAGATGACTAATAGAGGTCAAGTTCAGAAACAGTGAGTCAAGAGGTCACAATCTTACTGAACATTTTCTGTGGTAGTATGACTAGAAAAGGGAGGAAAAGAGGAAGAGAAGGGAAGGAGGACAGCTGCCAGAGAGCAGCTGCCTGGGAATGGTTATCTGGGCATGAGTCAGTCACCATCATGCCACTATTAGCAAGGATGCTGATACCCAACTCTACAGAGTGATTTAAGTCTATATAAATAAAATACTTGAAAAGAAAATGATCCTATAATGTCAAGGAAGTAATCACAAATCAATATTCTGACCAAATTTTTATTAAGTGAACAAGCTGAGTTAAGTTGTAGAGTTCTAAGCTAAATCAAACATGCAAAGGTAGCAGTCATAAAGTAAGGAAGGCAATTAATTATAGGGACAAGAATTAAAGGTACCACTCCAAAAGTCATGTTCACTGATGATACAAACTAAAAATACAATACCAAATACAATACCAATACAATAGTAAAATACACATTATTTTTGAGATTCTACATCTAAATTGACTTTCATAGGCCATACTTTTCTCTCAAATCTTAACATTGTTAATATTTCCTGTCTATTTATGCTTAACAAAAAAAATGTTTTGTTTATAATTTGGCTTTTCATATAAAATTCCTAGTGTGGGAAAAAAGAAGAAATGACTATTCATTTTGTGTCACATTTATAGGTCTCATCCCTTACATGTGCTTCAGTATTATACATTATAAATCTAGGTTATTAGTCTTCCTAAATCTGATAAACAAGATTAAACTTCTGGAAAAAAACAGAGGAAAACCAGAATCAGGTTTGGTGAGTTCTCTTAAGAAATACCCTGCAAAATTATGAAAAAAATTATCAAGTAGCCTTCCAACTTGAAGCATCTTTCTCATGACCTGAAACCCCAAATTTATGTGAAGAATAGAAAAGTAAGAGAACATATAATGGCATAGAGCAAGAAAGACCACATAGCAGTTATCATAAACTGAAATTTTTTTTTATAATTATTACCTGATTTCCCTCCCCTAAAATATAAACTACCTAAGAATTCTGTTTGGTTGATTATTCCAAGTACCTGAAAGAGTGCCTAACACCATCAGCAATCAATAAATATTTGTTGAATAATTATTAAATAAAGAAATAAGAACCACAAAAATCCTCACTTTGATTTCTTATATAAGAATCTTTTGATTCTGTATCATATATATTCATAATGTCCTTCTATAATGATAAGATAAAGTTTTAAAAATAATCTATTTCAGCTTTTCTACTCCTGAGAAAGATTTTACTTTACAATGTAGCCAAATAAAGTTTCTACTCTAAAAGAACTTGAAATTCCAGTACCCTATTTCAAGTACTGTCTGGTCCTATCTAGAGACATTTTTGGTTGTCAGAACTTGGGAGTGCTATTGGCATCTAAAAGGTAGAGGTCAGGGATGTTAGTAAATATCCTATAATGCACAAAATAATTGTTTGGAAACAAAACATACCTAGCAACCCCCACCATCTCAGTTCTCTTATCACGAGAGAACAGAGAAAGGTAACTTTACATAGGGAGGTGATGAGGGAAATGGGAGGGATGAGAGAACAGTATTGATGTTAACAGAAAAGGCATTTGTGGAAAATGATGAATTTGTGATCACAGAAGGTTGGTTTTCAAAGGGAGAACCAAAAGGATGAATATATTTTCTTTTCTTGTTTGAGTAAAAAAAAAAAACTACTACCAACAAAATGCAGATGAGAGTGAGTGAGACGACTCAGGTTAGTCAGGACCAGAAGGAGCTCAGAAGAACAAACAGAATAATTATCCCTTAATATTTTGAAAGCACATTTTTTCTTTAAACATCCTAATCATGTACAGCATAAAAACATATCTCAAGGATGACAAATAACCATTTTTATATGCTTAAATAAAAATAATCATTTTTTTAATTAATCAGTAGTCCCAACAGGATTAGACCAATAATCCAGCTAAGGATGAGAAAAACTTTTAGGTGGACATTACCTTTCTGTGTCAAGTGCCTCCTCATTTTTCATCCACCTAATGGTTGGAGCAGGAAATCCCGAAGCAACACAAGGCAAAACTGCACTCTGACCAACGACTCTGACTAAGGAAGAAGGCTGTTTCACAAATACCAAATTTAATGTAACTTCAGGATCTAAAAATAAAAAAAATAAAGGTAATAAAGAAAGCACTTTATTATTTTAATGAAAAGGTAGAATAAGTTACGATTCAGTCTCTGTGGTTTCATGTAACAAAATGTCAAGCAAAAGTGACTCAAGAAAATTCCACTTAAATTAGCAAACATTTCTTAAATAACTTGTATGTGCACAGCGTTGTGCTAGGCACTCTCAAGGCTTAAAGATATATAATTTATAATTTTTGACTTAGGGTGCTGATTTGACATAAATTCCCTTCACTTAAAAAAAAAACAGGTTAAAGTAAATGACATACTAGTACAAATTGAGAAAAGACTGAGAAAATTCAGCACCCTTAGTAGCATCTTCTTCTTTCGGAGGGATTTAAGAGGTTTCCTTTCCTTCCTTACATGAGTGTTATTTCCGAAAACCTTGAGTTCTATCTCTATATCCTGCTCATTTAATCTGTTAACCCTCTGAGTTGATAGTGCTGTAACTAGCTGTCATAATGTGTATTTGCTTTATGTAGTTGCCAAATTATTAAAACATATTAAAAGACCACACTCTTATGGGTAGAAGACAGGGTTCTCTACAGGATGGGGTGATATTGCTAGTGCTGACTTTGGAGAAAAGGACAGTTCTCAGGCGAAGAGAGGTGACTCCTGTCCCATTTTCTTAGAAAAAGATGTTCTACAGTTTTAACCAATCAAAGAAAGTTTTACAGTCATGGAACTAAGTAAACATTGCCTAATAAATCAGTGAAAACTCACTTCACTGAATTTGCCTTTGACAGTCAACAACTGAAAGACAGTGTCAGATTTTAAGCACCAGCCATCCAGTGGCAGAATCACTTGCTTCCAAGGCTGTTACTAATTGCTCTCATCTCTGCAGCCAGCCATAAAACATGCTTCTATGACTAACATCAACCCATCCAGAACAGTGTCCTCCCCAAAATTCTACAGATCAGAAATTTGCATTATTCAGGAAGACTATGCTTGACAAGTATAGGTCTCCTTTACTTCAGTAAACTAATTATTTAGTACTTATGTTTCAGCTACTGAGTGGTGAATCATCCTTCGACACTAAGAATCTTCTTTCCCTGGACTCAGTTCTAAGAATTTGCTTGAATGTTACTCTAGGTAGAAAAGAAATATGACTGTTACCATGTAAAAGCAAGTCAGAAAGAGACCAGAACACAGTATGGCAACAGCTCACTCTCAGTTTGAGTTTCTTGTAAAATATAGTTACTAGTAAAATATTGATAAACTCAAACAAATTTGAATAGTAACTGGCTTCTATGTGCCAATAACCATTTTTAGCAGCAGACAAAACTCCCTGCCTTCACTGAGCTTCCATATTAATAGGGGGAGAGAGTCAACACCAAAAGACATAATAGGTCAGATGATGATGTGTTCAAAGTAAAATGAAGGGGGGAGGACAGAGCAGCAAGTGGAAAGGAAGAATATGGTTTTAAATAGTGATCAAAGAAGGCTTCACTGATAAAGTGGTATTTGAGCAGAGAGTTAAGACAGTGAGGCAGACAGTTTCTGAGAGAGATAAAGCCAGGCAGAGAACACAGCAAGTAGAAAGGTCCTAAAGCATGCTTGGGGTATTACAAAAACATAGGTGGTCACAATCACTGAATGAGGATGAATGTGAAATGGAAGAAGTGTGCTGGATGGAGGAGGGAAGTGACACTGAGATTATATAGTCTGACACGTCAAGGACTTTAACACTTACTCTGAGGTGGGAGGTTTTGAGGAAGCACAAGGCATGATGTAATACACATTTTAAGAGACTGTGGCTGCTAACTGAGAATATATTGGCATAGGACTAACAAGGTTAAGGATGATGACCAAGAAAACTGCCTTTTAAAACTCCTCTTCAGAGGAATGCCCTCTCAAGAACTTGTCTCATAGGGCCTCCCTGGTGGCGCAAGGGGTTAAGACACAACCTATGAAGCAGTCTGCAGCCTCTGCAGCATGAGTTCAATCCCTAGCCTACCAGGGAGCAACCCACATGGTGCAGCAGACCTCTCCTATCTCGCCTGCTGCTCCCCTCTGCAGTGTACTTCGGTCAATCTGCCTATTCTGTTCCCCACTCTGTCTCTGGTGAATCCTCTCACCCTGCTCCCCACCTCTGGCCTGTATCCCAGCTCTTGTATGCATAAATAAATCTTAAAAAAAAAAAAAAAGAAACTGTGTCTCCTAACATTCATCTCACTTTGCAACCCAACCCAAAATAGGAACCTGATGTCCTGTATATAAGAACTGCACTCAAACAGCTAAGAATGGTCCAATTATATTCACAAACTCAGATTTGAACTAAGAAATATGGTGAGAATCAGGCACCTAGTAGTAGGAATATTAGTTGAAAGGTCAAGGGAATAATACGAGCTGTAAGTGAGAGGAAGTTATGAAAAAACAAAAGTTACAAAGTGAGGAAAGAGACACAAAACAGATGATGAAGAAAGTAGGCAGTAGACAAGAGAGTATGAACCTATAGAAAGAAGATGAAGAGAAGTTGAATTTACATTAAAATAGGGGGGCATTATAAATATCTCACAATTCCTGCTTACCAGAGCTGCTGTATTAGTAGTTGCCACTCTGCCCATCCTTTAAATGAACTGTCTGATTCTCACAAGTAAAAAAAAAACAAAAAACAAAAAAACCCTAACTTATAATAAGGATCCTACTATAGGAGGTAATAACACCAATAACCAGTATTCTATTGTGGGACAGTAGCAGAAGAGAGACTTGACAAAGGACAAAAAGTTAATGTTTCCAGATATCAAATATAATTTGTTGCTAGATAATTTTTTTTTGTGGGACCCCCACCAGTGGCTGGGGATGGAACCGGCGCTGCAGAGGCTGCAGGCAGCCTCGCAACCCAGTGCTCAACCACTGTGCCACCAGGGGAGCCCCCTGTTGCTGGATAAATTTTTACTGACTGAAGCATTCACTAATTTACTGACATGTTTCCTTCTTTTCCCCATAAGAAACTCCTTATGCTGATATTAATGTCATACCACATATTTAGCAGTGCTTATAAAATTCTAAAAGAACAATTTTTATCCATTAATAGCCATAATACCATTAGTCCTGATAATAAATTAATACCTGGAAGAACTTTTAATTCAGCCTCATCACTATACTTTGGTGGTCCACCACTTTCAACTATGCAGCGATAAAGTCCCTCATCTCCTTCAGTAACGTTGCTGATAACCAGTGTTCCACTTGGAAGTTTGATGACTCTGTCATCCAGAAGAAGAGGTTGTCTATTCTGTTCCCACCTCACAAATGGGACCAAGTCTGTATTAACTTCACAATTTAGAATTGCACTGTTCCCAGCATAAACTGAAGAAGGTTCTGGTTGGCTGGCAAATCTTGGCAGACCTGGACAATAAAGAAAAAGATTAAATAAAGTGTAGTTAGTTATTACTTTAAAATGTCATTCTGGGGAACAAGAGCAAGTAAGCCCATGTGGTCACATGTACAATGGAACTAGGGTAAAAAAAGAGCCATATGTAAGGTTAGAGATCAGAAAGATGTCTCTTCATTTTGGTTACTGTCTCTTTTGCTGTACAGAAGCTTTTTTAGTTTGATGTTAGTCCAAGCTGTTTATCTTCTCCTTTGCTTTCCTTAGCAAACATCTCTTAAATAACATGTGTGTATAAAAAAAGCATTATGCTATGTTCTCTTGGGGCCTTAAAGAGGTATCAATTATAATTTGCCTTCACGGTGCTGATTTGACAAAAATTTCCTTCACTTTAAAAAACAGGATAAAGTAAATGATACAAATAGTACAGACAACCAGTGACAACAAGTGAAATCTGAATAATATCTAAGGATTAAATGGTAGTCTGTATTAAGGTAAGCTTCCTGAAATTGATGGATGATTATTTAGGAGACTGTCCTTGTCTTTAGGAAATATACTATAGCATATTTAGGCAGAGGTAATGAGGCAACATGTCTGCAACTTGCTCTAATGATTCTGAAAAAATACGTGTATATTTTACACAGTGCAGGATATCTGCATACTGGCAAGCATCATTGAGACAGATGTGGCAAAATGTTAGTACCCTAAGAGAAGAGTATACAGGATTTCTTGCTTCCATTCTTGCCATAATTTCACAACTTTGAAATTAATTCAAAATGAAATATTAATTAAAAAATACATAGACACCAATGCGCTGTAGATAACACAGTGTGGCTAACAGCATGAGTCCTCAGGTCACATAACCTTAATCTTCACTCTACCACTTCACGGCTATGTGATGTTGGCAAGTTACTCACTATTAATTCTCACTTTTTCCACCAGTAAAATGAGAACAATAACAAGCCTCAGAGAGTTTTAAAAATATTAAATGATTAGCATAAATAATTCATACATAGCATGTTGCTTGGCATATAAACACACAACAAAGTGACTACCATTATTATTATCAATGATATTTAAAAAGTACTCTGATAAGTTCAGAATGTTTCTTTGAAGACAACAAACATACTCAATTATGAGAAACAATTCCTGGTTTTCTAGTTTTATGATGGTGAATGGTCCAAATGACACAGTTACAGATTAGCTAGCTGTGCTAAAAAAATATTTTGAATTTTTTATTACAAGGGGAGTTTTGAAGAAAAGATAAAATTAACCAAACATCTACTTTTAAGAAACCAGAGAATTAATAGAAGGATATAACAAAAATACAGAAACTAGTAAGGTAGGAAAAGGGGAATCTAAAATAAAGCCAACGGGCCTTCCCGGTGGCGCAGTGGTTGAGCGCTGGGTTGTGAAGCTGCCCGCAGCCTCTGCAGCGCCAGTTCGATCCCCGGCTGCTCCCCGGCCACCGGAGGAGGGTCCCACGTGGCGCATAGACCTCTCCTGCCGCCTGCTGCTCCCCTCAGCAGTGTACTTCGGTCCTTCTGCCTGCTCTGCTCCCCGCTCTGGCTCTGGCGAGTTCTCTCACCCTCCCGCGCTTCTGACTGTACCCAGTACTTGTATAAATAACTAAATAAATATTAAAAAAAAAATAAAATAAAGCCAAGAGTTAATTCTTTTTTTTCCTTTTTTTTATTTATACAAGAACCAGGGTACAGGCCAGCTGTGTAGGAGGATGAGATGATTCACCAGAGACAGAGCAGGGAAAAGAACAGGAAGACTGACGATATACACTGCTGAGGGGAGCAGCGGGCAAGACAGCTGCGCCATGTGGGTTTCTCCCTGGCTGGCCGGGATTGAACCCATGCTGCAGAGGCTGTGGACAGCTTCACAGTGCTGCACTCAACCGCCTGCGCCACCAGTGAGGCCTAATTCTTTTTTTTTAAGTTGAAATACTGTCCCTCCTGAAGTCTCATGAAAAGCAGTAATTTTTAAAAATATAAACCCATACCAACATATGAGGAGTCAACAGAGATTTCAAAAAATTTCTGAATTGGGAGAGCAAAGGGACCTAGTAACTGACATACCAAGGCAGAAAACTGACCAAAGGAGTCAAGAATATACACTGGAGAAAGTATCTTCAACAAACGGACTTGGGAAAACTAGACAGTCATATGTAAAAGAATAATATTAGTCCATTATCTCACATCAAACATAAAATTTAAATCAAATGCATTAAAGACTTAGATGAAGACCTGAAACCTTAAAATATATAGAAGGAAACAGTCAAAATACTCTACAATATTGTCTTCAGACGTGTCTTTGGGGATTCACTGTAATGGCAAGAAAAGCAAAAGCAAAAATAAGCAAATGGGACTGCACCAAACAAAAAACATCTGCAGAGCAAAATGAGTATCACTGAAACAAAAAGACACCCTCTGAATGAGGGTAAATACTTGTATATCAAACATCCCATAAGGGGCTAGCACCCAAGATGTACAAAGAACTCAAACAATTCAACTAAAGAAACAACATAATAAAAAATGGGCAGAAGAGCTAGAGACACTTCCTCAAAAAACATATAGCCAGCCAATGGGCACAAGAACAAATGTTAATCTTCACTCAGCATCAGGGAAATGCAAACAAAAGCCACAATGAGATACCACCTCAAACCATGAGAGTGGCCCACAAAAAAAGAAGACCAGAAGTGTTGGCGTGTTGGCAGAGTATAGAGAAAAAGGAGCTACTGTACACTAGTGGTGGGTATGTAGACTAGTTCAGCTCCTATGGAAAGCAGTATGAAAGTTTCTCAAAACATTAAAAATATATCTACCATATGCCAGCAAACTCCTAGGTATCTACCCAAAGAATGTAAAAATTAAAAATATTTGCACTCTTATGTTCACTGCAGCACTGTGTACAATAGCCAAACTATAGAAACAAATTAAATGTCCAACAACAGATGAGTGAATTAAGAAAATGTGGCACATATATACAACAAAATACTACTCAGCAATTTAAAAAAAGATGGAAGTCTCCATTTGCAACAACAGGGTGGAATTAGAGGGGTTTATGTTAAGCAACTAAGTCAGAAGGAGCAAGACAAACAGATTTCTTTCACATATGGATTCTAAAAAAAACAAAACAAAGGAACAGTTAAATCTAAAGCAAAACAAACCCTAGAAATCTGACTAAAAAATGAGGCAAAGAGAAGGGAAGTGGAGGGAGTGAGGATCAAGACAGAGCAAAGGCCGAATAGACTATGGTGGAATATTATGGGTGCTTTGGCAGTGAGTGTGGTATAGTAACATACATCTGCAGAGGTGTGAACCTGTACCTCTATATCATACAGTGTTGTAAAAGTGTTATATCTCAATTAAAAAAAATACAAATAAAAAGGGGAAGGATGGGGAAACCTAGCAGAAGAAAACAAAGGAAAAGGCAAGAACAGGAATCCTAGGCAATGAGGAGGCCATCAGCAAAGACCAATAGAAATGGGATAAGAGACTACTGTCTCCATATTCTGTTTCCACATGTTAGTATTTTACCATTGTGAATGTAAATACAGGACTTAAAAACAATACGATTATATTATTTATACTATATTATATATTTATATTATGTTATATTATATTATGTTATGTTATGTTATTGTATTATAGACTAGTCTACCTTAGACTAGTCCAACGCCTATGGAAAGTGGTATGGAAGTTTCTCAAAGCATTAATATATATATGTAATATAAAAGATTAATATAAAAATCATATGTAATATTATTATATTATTACTTAAAATAATATGATTATATAAATATAACATGACCCTTAACAAAAACTACAATTTATCTGGTACTCAAGTAAAAAAATACTAATCTGAGGAACACCCATGTGTACTAAAAAACATGGGTGACATATTCAGGGACTGTATCTTACTCTTCAAGAATCTGTATTATCTCTTATACTTTCATCATTCTTTAAGTAAGTATGCTCCAATCCCTAAAGGGAATAAATAATTCTCTTCACAAATTTCTGCTTTTCACACCTTTATACACACACACACACACACACATATTTACATATATCTCCTACAAATTTTTTTAAATAATTAACTCAAATATCATACCCTTGGTTAAAGCATAAAGGAACCATAATTCTTAGTTATAATTCAATTTTTAGAGTCATTTTATTTATTTATTTATTTATTTAATAATAAATTTTATTTTTATATTCCCCATACAATTGCAACCCCCTTATTTTGACCCCAATCCCTCCCCTACCCACCCCCCACTTCCTATAGAGTGTCTCTGGTTCATAGTTGTTTGTTGATTTTGATTTTCACTTTCTTATAGTTATTCATTTTCCTGGTCCCTTATTTAAGTTTTCTAGATTCCTGCTATGAGTGAGACCATCAGGTATTTTTCTTTTTCTTTCTGGCTTATTTCGCTAAGCATGATCCCTTCCAGCACCATTCATTTTGCTGCAAATTGCATGTGTTTATCTTTTTTGAATGCTGAGTAATATTCCATGGTGTATATGCACCACATCTTCTTAATCCAGTCATCTATTTTTGGGCATTTGGGTTGTTTCCAAAGCTTAGCTATTGTAAACAGTGCTGCTATAAACATAGGGGTGAAGGTGCTCTTTGGAGTTGATGTTTCTGTGTCCTTTGGGTAAATACCTAGGAGTGGAACTGCTGGATCATATGGAAGCTCTATGTCTAGTAGGTCAAGAAATCTCCACACAGCTCTCCATAGTGGTTGGACCAGTTTGCACTCCCACCAATAGTGCAGGAGAGTTCCTTTTTCTCCACAACCTAGCCAACATTTGTTGTTGCTAGTTTTTTTAATATGTGCCATTTTCACTGGAATTTTTACAGTCATTTTAAATGGCTAGACTAGGCAGGATAAAAGTGATCAATATGATTCAATTTTCCTATACAATTTTCTGTCATTTCCAGTTTAAATAGAAAAATAGACCTGGCTCAGTACTTGTAATAGCAACTTTAAGTCACCTAAATCATCAGAAAGTGGGAAAGTACTATAGTTTATTCCTTATAGTACACCAAGCAAGTCCTAGCATAATCCCAAACACACAGTATATGCTCAGATGACACTTGTTTAATGAGTGTATTAATGAAAACTCCAGGATAACATCACTTTCATCAAGATTTGAAAATACAAATTATTTAACAAAACCTACCTGCTACTGTGAGCTTGGCTGTTCTGCTGACAATAGTTCCAAGACTCTCAACAGTGGCCACACACTGGTAATAACCTTCATCAGGTTTATTGTGTTTGGAATGTACCACATTGCTGATAAATAAAGATCCATCTGAGAGAAGTTGGCGTCGATCATCAGACACTAAATTTAAAAAAGTTCCATCTTTTTTCCATTCAATTTTTGGAGAAGGCTCAGAATACGCCGAACAGTTTAATATAACAGAAAAGCCTCTAACTGAGAGTGTATCCACTGGTTCCACCAGAAAATAAAATGGAGTGAATGTTCGAATGCTGGCTCCTATAAAAATAATAATAAAAAAAGAACAAAGTTAAGCAAAACTTTCTTCTATGTTCTTTGGGTATGATATACATATATAGTCATTTCACAAGGAATTTACCTTTTACTAGAAAAACAAAACTTGACTCATTCAGAACATTAGGAAAAAAGACCCTCCCAAGATTAAAAAAAAAAAAAAACACTTTCTTAGATGATATGAATCTTTAATAAAGGTTTTCTTTCTGGCCTTACAGTGAAATTTATAAATATTTAAAATTATTGTATCCAAAGTGAACTTTTTTATAAAACATAGGTAGAAAACTGAAATGACTCTAAGGTACCTTTTCTATGTTTATCAGTTATATTTCTTTCATAAATTCAATATATATACACACTACATTTTTTAATGGATTAGTCATCTTATTGATTTAAAAGCAATCTTTGGGTTTAATGTCTCACAAATATTATTTTATCTCTTTTGACTGATTTTTATAAGGAAATAAATTTGACTACATAAAATTCAATTTGCTACATTTAAAAATGTTTTCTTTATCTCATGGTTATAAAAAAAGCTAGCCTTTCATGTGTTAGTATTTTTTGTAGTTTCATTTTCCACATAGACTCTTCACCCAGAAATCATTTTGATGTAAAGCGCACAGACAGATCAGCTTAATTTTTCCCAAGCCTTTGGCCAATTCTTCGAACACGGGAAGAATGTAATTTGAAGAAAACATCTGCTATATTCTCAGCCAAAAAGTTTTACAACCTAAAAGTTTGCCCCTTCTCATCAACTACCCCATGAACAAGTAAATTTGAAATCAAATTTCTTTGTGTGAATAATCGGAGAAACTTAGTACAATAAATGAAACAGGCCTTGTTTTTCAAAAAGATCTACACATTAATTTAGTTATAATTTATTTACATTATCAACCTAAGGATGACACTACTTCTTTGCTAAACAATTAAAGAATGGTTCTAAATAAATATGAAACAGCGGTGGAGGGAAAGCAGCTCATGGATAAGCAGTACATGGGTATGTCTAAGTGGAAGTGCATCATATGGGGCAAGGCCTTCTTGTCTGACAGCACTCTCAGTAAGTATGGACTCAGCATAAAAGGTGCCGTTCTGGGACTAAAACACCAGGATGCTGGTGAAGAACCATCTCATGGCAACTGCATATGTGCAGTCCATTGCTGTGTCTGATCAAGATAGTTTTGTGATGCGTACAGCCTCGGGGAACAGTATTCCTTTTTCAGCTGGTCTTTGTGATTTCCAGCAGTAAGAGGCAGTGGACACAAAGCCCTTCTAGCATCCCACTCAGTGAGGACCGAGGCCCACAGCCCAACAGCACTCATATCTGGAGGCACCGACACCCACCTAGTCATTCCTCCCAATATGTGGAGATTAAGAATTATGATGCTGCTCTCTGAACAATCACTTATCCCCATCGACTTCTTACTTCCAGTTCAAAAAGGAAGCAGCTTCTCTTCTTCCATTTTGCCATCATTTGAACTTTGGCAAGTGGGGATCTACAGTTCCAACAGGAAAGAATAGGGATAGACTTCCACTAGCTAAAGATGAAGCTCATTTACTACACCTCAAGACAAAGGTCCTGAGTACATTATTTAGAACTGTATCTCCCCATGTGGTCATTGGATAGCCTATTCTGCAGCTTCTCTGTTTTCTATCTGCTGAACTATGAACATGACAACACAAGCCTCCAAACAGTTTCCAAGATGCCAGTGTTTCTTTGCTCTTCCTTTCAGATTCTGTTTTCTGAAGATTCAATAAAGCTCTTTATGGCATCAAATCTAGTTTCTCTATATATCATCTGACTGTTGCAAGGAAGCATCAAGTACCCGTATACTTTCCAGCCTCAGTCAGGGATAGTGGAGTCCATGCATCTTTTGGCAGTCAGTCCACATGGGAATCACCTCACTGCGTCAGGTACCACTGCAGGGATCTATGTGTAAATCCTGAAACCTCTAAAGCTTCACTGCACAGTGCCTGTTCACAAGCTCCCTGTGACTGCTCTGGCCATCACCTCCAATACCAACAACCTCATGATTGCTCATTCTGATCAGCAGGTGTTTGAGTACAGCAACACAGACAAACAGTATAAAGAGTGAAGTCAGGGGCCTCCCTGGTGGCGCAAAGGGTTAAGTACCACACTATGAAGCAATCCACAGCCTCTGCAGCAGGAGTTCGATCCCCAGCCAGCCAGGGAGCAACCCACATGGCACAGCAGACCTCTCCTGACTCGCCCGCTGCTCCCCTCAGCAGTGTACTTTGGTCAAACTGCCTGTTCTTTTCCCCACTCTGTCTCTGGTGAATCCCCTCACTCTCACCCCCACCCCTTGCCTCTGTGGCCTGTACCCCAGCTCTTGTATGCATAAATAAATATTAAAAAAAAAAGAGAGTGAAGCCAGACCATCCAAAAACAGGGTTTCATTCCTTTTGGCTCCAAAGGGATATTCCCATCATACACACCAATTTTCATCCCAAGAGACCCAAAGCACATCCTTCTCCTGATGCCTTATGTTCTGAATCACTGACAAGTCATTGCCTCTTCCTAATGACAATCCACTTCTTCCAACAAATGAGTCATATGACATCAGGAGATGCACAGACCAACAAACATTTAAGATATATAAGCCTCTACTTTCATGGATCTTTGGATGAAAGAACCCTGGTAGCAGAACAGTCCCTGGATGCCATCATCACTCAGCTCCCACCTCCCATCAAAAAGAAGAAATTTGGGACTCAAAAAAGAGCACTGTTCTTGAACCATCTACCCTGTCCTTTTTCACAAATTATGATAATAAAACAAAGTTATTTTTAAAGAGAGAGAAAGAGAAAGAGAGCGAGCGAGAGCGCATGCGCACTAACTCAGAACTAGAAAAGACACACCTCAAAACATTAAAAAAATAACTACATGGGGCCTCCCCTGGTGTTGCAGGCAGTTGAGCGCTGCTCTGGGAAGCTGCCCGCAGCTTCTGCAGCGCCGGTTCGATCATGGCTGGCCGGTGAGGGTCCCACATGGTGTGGCAGACCTCTCCTGTCATGCCTGCTGCTCCCCTCAGCAGTGTATTTCGTCAGTCTGCCTGTTCTGTTCCCCGCTCTGTCTCAAGTGAATCCTCTCACCCTCCCAAGCATCTGGCCTGTACCCTGGTTCTTGTATAAAAATAAATCTTTAAAAAGTAATAATAATAACTACATCAAAATATCATTAAAAAGCAAAGACAAGATTAGGGGGAATTATATCACAAATAACAAATAATTTAGAAGTTTACACTACTCAATAGAAAAATGGGTAAGACTGGGTTTCAACAAAACTTTATTTACAAGAACAGGCAGCAGAATGGATGTGATCCATTCACTGTATTTTACTGATCCTTGCCTCAAAAATATTTAGCCAGTAAAATATGAGTGAGTTGCATTTCATGTGATATGGAATGAGTTCTGTGAAAACTGGACAATGCAGACAACTCTAATTTATATAATTTCTATGCATATTATTGCACTCAGCATTGAGAATGGTAGGAAAGAGTATACTAGCTTGTTAGTATAGGTTATTGTGAGGAAAAGAATGAAGAAAGAGTGGGTGGGTCAGGGAGGACAAAAATCCCAGGCACATATAAAATAATTTCATACTATAATCAGTTTGTGTGTATCATTCATTTATAAATATTATACATATGGTAGATGTGAGTGTATGTTTACACATGCACGAACACCTGAAGGAATAAATACTAAAAATTAGCCACCAAAATGGGGATAATCTCAGGGTAGCAAGGTTTCAGTCTATTTTAACAACTTCTCTCAACATTTGGTGTTATCTGAATATCTTATGTAAAAAAATAGTTTTGTTCACTTAATCATAAATAGTTATTTTCATCTACATGAGTTACATATATGTGTGTATAAGTATATATATATACATATATATGTGTGTGTGTGTGTGTGTATATATATATATATATATATATATATATATATATATAGAGAGAGAGAGAGAGAGAGAGAGAGAGAGAGACTCCACAGGATGGGGATAATAGGAACTCTGTGGCATACTCATATTCTGAGCTTGAAAGATTATCAAAGTACATATAAATAGAAAATATTCACCTCTTAAAATATGTAGAGCAGACTCTGCTTATATTAAAATATACATATACATGTACACACATATACATATTCATATTTAAATGTAATTACTGGAAAAAGTCTAGAAAAATCAACACTGGTGTTTTTCTGGAGAGAGGAGTGAAGTTGAGCTGCTTAAGGAGAATGTGCAAGGAGAAGCCTTCTACCTTCATGGATTCCTATACTATTTATTTTCAAAAATATGAACTACTTGTGCATTTTTTCCTTTAATTAATAAAATTATTGCTGGTGGCAAACAATCCTTTGTTAGGAACAGAAAATTATTTTTAAAAGACCTATCACCATTTTCTTTACCACTTTCCTTTTGTCACAGTAGTAGAGTTATCACTCACTCACTCGGGCTACTTTTACATAGATTGTCCTTTACTTCTCACCAGGGTCCTGATTTCCCACCTACTTAAGTTTGCTTAATTTTAGTTTACTGTGACCAGAGTTACTGGACAAATTATTCTGAATTACGCTTAATGATCCTGTCTGATCTCTTCTATATTCCCAGGTCTCTGCAAATTTCTCACTTCTTAATAGAACAACTCTCACTTCTTGATAGACTATTCCTCACTTTGCGATAGACTATTTCACACTTTCTGTTATTTCACACTTTCTGATAGAATTCCATCTTATGAAAGGAATATATCAACAGGGAACTTATATCAGTTTTAAGCCCCTAAATATCAACAAATCTTGTCACTCACTGCATACCTTGTATGGTGAATAATTCTAAATTTTATTGTACCCAGTTTGTTTACGCCCTGCACAGGCAATTCTTCCAAAGACTGAATCTATAACCTTTCATAACTCCTTTTGTGGGGTTTACAAGTAAGATAAGTGGGCTAGTTATATAGGTGATTTTCATT